ATAAATGTTATTGTATTAAATAATGGAATAATAATCATGGGAAATATAGAACAATGCTGATATTAAATGAAAAACTTTTCTGAAAACCTAATGAATTTTTTTCTCTCTTAAGAAAAAAAAATGTATACATAGTGTGATGTATATCTAGATTATACATGGGATGTTACCTGGATTGTACTTGAGCGACTGAGTTTATGTGGCCTATATAAACACCTGGAACATCTCCCCAGATCTTCCCATGACTATTTCAGGTCTCTGATCAAATGCTACCTCTTCAGAGAGGCTTCTTTGATCACTCTATTTAAAATATCAGGTGTGAGACATGCACATACACATTCACACACAATCACACAGAAAACTTTTTCCCCTTACCTGCTATTTTTTTCTTTTTAACACTTATCACTATACAGCACTATATTATATATGTGTTTATTATATTATCTGTCTTACTAGACTGGAAACTCTGTGAGAGCAAGGACTTTGTTTTGTTCGAGCACCTAAAACAATGTCTGCCATTGTCAGATAGATACTGTTAGAACAGATAGATACTGTTCAATAAATGACTCAAGAAAATAAGGCTGATTGATAAACAGTGGTGGGTTCCAAGGACCAGTTCTAAAATAGCAGGTAATACTTTCCAAAAGGAAGTTCAAGGGGAAAAAAGAGGAAAAAAAAGCCATCTAAACTAAGCATCAGTTGTAATATGTTTATGAAATATGTATATTGTGGGATTCCAAAATAGTAATTAAAAAACATTTCTCCTTTATACACATACTTATCAAGTAAATATTGATTTACTATCTAGAAAGTAAAAACTAATCATTACATTATATTTACATTTAATAATTAATTTTGAGTATTTAAATAGACAAGAAGAAAAATTATACTTGAAAGACAAAAATTCTATAGCACAAAATATTAAAGAACTCCCTTTGTATTTTTCCCATGGTATATTTTGATTCTTCCCTTCACACATTTTACTCACAACAGGAAGAAATGCAACTGATCTTCTTCTTCTAATTGCCAAGTGCTACTGCACTGGGTTGTAAAAATGGCCTAAATTAGCCTCAGAGGGCAGTGGTATCTGGTTGCATGTACATACCTACTCATGAATGTATTTAGTCTTGCTCCAGGTAATAGAATGGCAACACATTGATATCCTATAGTATGCAAGCAAAGGGTTTTGGGGTCACCATAAAATGTGCAACAAAGTTCAATGGTACTTTCCAGTCCAGATAGATCCACTCTTTGGAAAAGCCCAGCTTTCCTCTCCATCTCTAACATTCATATGTTAGTTCTGACTTGGGAATTACTTTTAAAGAGAAGGAAAGAGAAGGGAAAGGTAAAAATAAGGAGTTAGGCCACAGTCCCTTGGCAAAAGTATCAAGAGTAACTACCTTTTTCAAATGACCATACTTGTAGCCTACAAATTGACATTCCATTGATCATGGTTAAAGGTAAGATGATAGTTTCATTTCAACATGTTACTTTTACTTTTGTCTTTTCCCCCCCATTACTCTTAAATCGGGAAGGGAAAAAAAAATTGTTCCAACAGCACTCTAATGGTTTTCAAATTGTGTTACCCCGGATTATGCAAGGATTTTCTATTAGAATTGCTTGAAAAAAATAATGGAAACAGACTGTTTATATATATTTCCAACAGGACAAGGGACCTCTGAAATACGACAAATTAGCACACATATCTGTACCAGGTATTGTTAACCAATGACTCCAGGATGGGAAGAGGTAGGTAAAAAAGTTGAAGTCAGACAATTGATACAAAAAAAGATCAGAAGCTCATAGTTATATAATTTGACAATGAGATTGAGTTTAAATAATTACTGGCCCCTTTGCTCTCAAGTTGCATATTATACTTCGTGAGTTTCATCTGGATAAACACATTTTGCTGGTATTGTGGGTAAGAGGATGAGGAGTGATTTTTCCACAGCTCTATTCCCTCAACAGAGAGGATCCTGCTTACCTGCTTCTGAGAACTGGCTGAATATCATGTGAGTACTTAAGGAGTAAACTAAAGGGTCCACTTCAATAACTCAGACACCAACGAAGAAAAAGTTATTCTTGTTTAAGTGAAAATTCAAGATCACTAGCATAGTCTGTTTTAGGGCACATATGAACTATACAAGCTTCATGCTTCTGACCCTTGTCTTCAAGTCCCTAAACTGGAATAAAACCAATAAATGCCTGAGGAGCCACTTCACACCCCAAACACGTGCAAACTTTGTTCAACAGAACACTTTACTGCCAAAACGGAGCTGGCAGAAGTTTGGAGCTAAGGCCCACAGGCTGCATGATTTGCTGGCGCAAGAGAGCTTAAAAATCTTAACATAATACTGCTGAGTTTGAGTTCTACCAATTTGCTTAAGACTCCTTCCCCAAGTTTGACTTAAGAAAAATGGAAGCTGCCATCAAGAAAGACTTTACTAACACTTCATCATCTACTCAGAAATGATTTAATTCCCCACTCCTGATGGTCATACCTCTATATTCCTTGGTGGTTGTATTTATATTGTAAATCTAAAGCAGTCTATTTTGAAATGCATGTAAATTCAGTTTTGCTTGGTTGCTTGGATATAGAAGTACAGGAAGAACGACTGTAAATATACAAGATTAATTACAACAAAGTTCTGCTTAGAAAACACTGATCCAAATAACCCCCATATATCCCAATTCATTACCCTTGAAAAATGGGGGAGAAATTAAGATACAGAATATCTGTAAATTTTTATCACTTTACATTTGTTTTAGTTCATCTTCTCACATCTCTGAGTTTGAGTAATGGTGTTTTATTTTTTACATGAAAAATGTAGGAAGCCAGGAAAGGAGCCAAGATGAGTTCTTCTCTTCCACAAGGGTCAACAATAAGGTCCTATTTGGAATCTTCATAAGTTTGATGCAGTTTAATGAGGAAAACTGCACCTGAATTTAAAAATTGTAGTGAATACTTGCAACTATACCACTAACAACTTTAAATTTGTAAACACTTGAAAAACATGCAGTATTGAGAAACTATGGTTTGCTTGGGAAGGTTATCTTGTGCTTTTTCAATAAGAGATCTTTAAAGATGCTGCTTACTCCTCATATAGCTGAAAAGTAAACATAGATTAAAAAGCTTAAAAAAGACCCTTTCTAATCTTTCCCCTCAGTAGCTCCATGTATTTTATTCATTCCTCTGAAAGCCTGTTTTTCCACCTTTAGAACCTCCTAAGTATTCTAATTCTCAGCTATGATTTCATATTTTCACCAGCTTCTAATCTGCACAATATAGTTGGAAGCATTTAGGACAAAACACTCTTTAGGATATCAAGTTGCAGAAGACTGTAGTTTTAAAGATATTTATATAGTAGTGCTGCCACCTAAAGATGAGGCGAATAAAGAAGCAATTCAAAGGAAATGACCCATCATTCTTAAGGCTGTCTCAAAATTTTTCTCATTTCCAACTAGGGATTAATAAACATTTTGCTGTTTTGTTAATATGGAAGTTTGTTTCACAATACATTATTGCTGAGCTGTAATTTTCTATGGCAGAAATTTTCAAATTCAAACTTTTTAGAGTAATCTGTGATTTGGGGTCTCCAGGAAACTCCCAAAATTTGTTTCCCTCAGACATTAGGCACTGCCTACAATACACAAGTGTGGGGTTGGGGGAGGGGGGAATCAAAAGATACCCGGAAGTAAACTATTGAGGAATCTCTGGTTTAGTGGATAAAGCAGGTAATAATAGACCTATGGTGTTTCCCTTTATCGGTGACAGACTGCTTGCAACTCTCAACAACTGACATATTTTTCTAACTCAATTTTCTCGTCCATAAAATGGGGTTAATTTCACCTCTCTCCTACTTGCCTCTAAGGCTTAGCTAGGTAAGCTTCTTGGAAGGTCCTATAATAAGTGAGTTGACAAGTCTACTATTAAAACATAAAAAAAAGAAGTCTACTATTGCCTAATAAAAGAATATCTCACAGTGTATTGCAAAGTTACCTCAAAATAAAATATACTCAGTTAAATAAGGTAAAACATTGATAAGTTTTCTTAAATCACAGATTGACTTCTCTGAGAGCTATTTAAATAATGATAAAGATGGAAGGCTGTTTTTTGCTTATTTTGAAGCCGATATTTTTAACTGATCCATCTTCTATGTATGCAGTGTTGCAGGATGGAGATGTGACAGCATACAAAATGAGGGAAAAAGTTAACGTGTACCAAAAATCTTGTCAAACCTGGTCAAAGATTTCAAGAAAACTCTTAAAGGACATTTTATAGTTCTGCATTTCGCCCTAGCATAGTAATTTATGAAAATTAACTCGTCCCTTTTACTCTCTCCCTCTCGGCCCAAGGACGCATAAATAATATTTATCAGGGTTTTGTCCTTAGTCACAGTCCCTCAAAGGGGCCCAGTTTCACCTACACTGCGTGGGAGGCTGGGCAGCAACCCCACGCTTCCTGTCAAGGATTCCTGGGGCTACAGCCTGAACGTGGTCTAGCCCGTTTCTTCTTTATGCTAATTCTGCCCTCCTAGCCCCTCTCGGCGGGCGTCTGAAGGCAAAGGTGAGACCCTCCCGGGAGATGAAAGGCCTATCGCCTCCTAAGAGATGCGGGCGGAACGGGGGCGCGGGACAGGGTGACAGGGTGGTAGCGACACTGACAACGACGCTGAGGGCCCTAAGTTGGAGCTGACGCAGGCCCTACAGGGTTCCCTCCCCGCCTGAGCCTGGCTTCCGCCCTCAGAGCCCAACAAGGGAGAAGTCCTCCCGGGGGCGCTACCGGCGGTGAGTGGAGGAAGGGTGGGCAAAGAGGCCGCAGGCAGCCCCCTCCTCAGACGCGCCTCAAGGCCTGGGCCGTGGGCTGTTGACGCGCCAACGGCGGGGAGGGCGCGCGCACGCGCGAAATGGGGGGCGGAGGGAGCGCGCTCGGCTGCCGCCGCCGCTGCAACTGAAACGGAGGAACGCGAGGGCGGAGGGCGCGAGCCACGGGAGGAGTGTGGGGGGGAGATGGTGGGTAGCGGGGAGCGCGCGCTGACGTCGCCCGGAGTCACGCACGGAGCGCCGGGTTACGCGCCGACGTCTGGCTGCCACGACTTGCCGTCTGCGGCGGCGGCGGCAGCGAGCGGATCCCGCAGGGGAAGGAGGAGGAGGGAGAGCCGAGGGGGCTGTGAGTGAGCGGGAGAAGCAGGGTGTGAGCCGGACTTGCCAGCGGGAGGGAGAACGAGTGAGAGCCGAGCCAGCCATCCGAGCCGCCTCCTCCTCCTCCCCTCGGCGTCCCGCCCCCGCCTGCCAGCCCGCCCTTCTCCCTCCTCAGCCGGCAGAGCCCGAGTGAGGCGCAGCTCGGCTCGCGCCGCTGTCCAGGACAGGTGTGCGCGCGCGCGCCCTCCTCCCCTCCCCCTTTCCTCGCGCCCGCCTAGCGCCTGCCTCGCGCGCGCCCTCCCTCCCTCCAGCCCGCGCCCTCCCTCACCTGCGGCAGGACAGCGCCCGCCCGCCCGCCCGGGTAAGCCCCTCGCGACCTTCTCTGCTGCCACTGCCACAGCTTGAGGTGCCGCCCACCTTGTCCCCTCTAATTGCTCTCTTATGCCCCAGGAATAATTACTGTAGCATTGTAGACATCCCCGCACCCTTCCTCCGGGGACCCTGGTAGTGCAGCAACGCGCCCCCCTCCCTCCGGAGCGCACGAACGAACGAACTCCTTCCCACCTCCAAAAAAGAAGAAAATCACACGCCCCTTTAAAAAAAAAAAGCAATCCTACCTCCTCTGGCGCTGGAGACCACCAGTGGTGCCGTTTGCTTAGCAATGCCTGAGCCCCATTCCCCCTGACCACCTTTGCCTGGGGCCTGGGACAGTTCGCCAAACCTGGCCGACACTCCCTGCACAGCAACCCTGGCAGGAGAGGAGAGGAAGGAGGCTTCTAGGCTCCACTACCAACCCCTCCTTTCCTCTGTTCAACCCCCGCCCCACCCCCGCAATGCATACACCCTCCCAGTGTGCGTTGTAAAAATAAAAAAGAATACACTGGTGCTGACAGCGCAGACGAAGCCAGGCCCAAAGATGGGTGGCCCGAACAAGGCATTTTTGCTGCCCCACAGAGCTAGGTCAGCTCCACAGTCTCCTCTGCCTTTGTCCGAGGGCAAAACGGACGGATGTGAAGTTAGAGGGTCTCCCCTTTGAGCGACGGTAGGCCCCGGCAGCGGCTATGTCTATAGGGGAAGGGACCCCAACAAATATATTTGTCTTGAGCCTGATCTTGGGTAGAGAAAGGCCCAAGAGTCCGGCTGGGAAAACTTTCTTTGGTTCGTTGCTGTCTACCCCTGAATAAATGCTACTTTAATTTCCGTTGTCTCTGCGGGACCCTCTTGAGGCTTCTAATTCGTTCTTATATGGGCCCCTTTACGTTTCTGTCGGGCCAGGCGCTTTTGGACAGCTTTTTGCAGCGGTGTCTCTGCTGGTGTCCCGTGTCCTTGGAAGGAAGCCCCAGTGCTTTATAATAGGCTGAATTTGGTTTGACATCTTTTGGTAGATTGTCAGAGGAGAAAAGGAATTTTTTGATTACTTCAAGACCCTCACTGTTCCCCGCCCAAACTGACGTTTTCGAATTGCGGCTTTGAAAATTGGAGTGTTGACTAGAGTGTGGAGAGAGTTGCTGATTTCATTCCTTTGGGTACTAGTAAAACCATTTAAGAATCAGCCGAAAGAGAGGGAGCTGTTGACATTTGCATCGGTTCTGTTTGGACCTTTTGGGTACATAAAATGTCGGGTTCTCTGAATCTTTTATCGAATTTAGAATGTGTGCTACATTTATTTAATTCTTCTGCAAATGCTTAAAATAACATTTGGGGAAATGTGAGGATTCTATCACATGGATTGTTCTCTTCAGATTTTAAATGTTTAATTCATATCTTTAACCCTAAACATTGAAATAGCATTGGAGAGGCATAATTTTCAAGATTAGATGAGCTATAGAAAGGGAATAGACTTTTAAAAAATGGTCGGTGAAATACTATTAGTCGTTGTTGTTAAATGTTAAGATTTACTTGAGAGTTTCCCTTAATTTTCCTGGTAGCTAGCCATGAGAAGAAATGGGTAATTCCTCCACTTTGAACAGTTACAGTACAACATTCCAGTTAGTTTTAATGATTTGGGTATTGAAGATAATTGTCTGGTTTAAGACAGGCATTTAACCTAAGTAGCACTTGAAAACACAAGTTCTAATGTTTTTGCTTCTCTTTTATTTGGGAAATCTGTGATTCTGTGAAATATTAATGAGCGTATTGTTTCTGTTGGGAACTCCGTAATCAAAAGGGTTTATTACCCAGAGGTAGATCCCCTCTCTCCAAGTTTATTTTGTAAATGTGTATGTTAATTTTTACTTTTAGATTTAGATCATTTCAGACCGTATTTCAGGCTGAGGAAAATGAGGTTTTTTCCTTCTTGTTCAGCCTAGTATCTGTTTCTTTGTGAACAGTTTTTTGTTGGTAAGATTTTGTTAAAGATGTAGAGATAGAGGGATTAAAAATAAAGCAATCTCTATTCTCGAAATGTGTGTGTAGTGTTAATAAGAGAGCACACTAAATCTAGAGACGTTTATTAGGTTTTAAAAATATAAGCAAACTTTGAGGAGGAAGGAAATATTTTTTGATAGTTCTTTCATTAACACAGATATTTTGTGCATATTAATATATTTCGTTTTCCCTTTGTTTTTCCTACATTGTATTGCAATTATAATTTTAATTTTACAACTATTTGGTTTAAAATGACAATGCAAACATCTAGACACTAGAACTGGCTTTTCATTTACCAACTTAGCATATTGTTTTGGTAATTAACAAATAGCTAGGTGTGTTTTTAAATCCACAACTTTGCTAATGGATTTTCAATGTTAGGATGCAAATTTAACTTTGAAGTTCTGTTTAAGGTTAAACTCTTTGTTTTAAGACTTTTCTCTCAGACTGCCTTTTAAGGGTACTATATTCTGTAGCCTACGGAAAGCCGCCTTTCACCACCCCCTCCATTCTGACCAAAAGCCCACACTTACAGGCTTATCCTGAAATAAACTGTCTTGTTTGAGTAGTGAAAATGTGTTAAATATCCTATTTATCATTGTATTATTTTGGGAAAGGCATTATTAACCTTGTTTGCTTTTAGATACATTTATAAAGTAGGCAAGAAGCTAATAGATAAAGGCAAAATTTTATACGTATATAATAAAAAACATGAAATAAGTAAGAACATATTTATGTGGAGAGATCCAGGTCTCAGTTGTTTACTGATTTGAGCTTAAAATTCCCAGTTTATGCGTGCAAATGATATTTAACTTGTGTTTTGTCTAGAAACTTCATCAATTGCCTCTGCGCTGGGGAACTAAGAACTCAGTTCCTGGTGACAGTCACTTTTTCAGAAAATCAGGGCATTCCCAAACTCAAACCAATTCAGAGCCCCTGGACATAAACGTTTGGGACAGAGGGCAAGAAATTTAGACTCCAAAGTTGGTTCAAGAAGGCGGGCAGTTTCGAGCCCTACTTTTTTGTCCTGGGGGAAGCGATCATTAGCATGGAAGAGTGACAGGGACCGGCAGGCGCGTGCCCCCTTATCGCAGCCCCACTGGCCTTGCTGCTTTGAGTTCTCCTGAGGGGTCAAGGGCTTGGTTCAGCGCGAAGTAAACCCTTGAGGAAGAATAGCGGCTCTTCTAGAGCGGTCTTAACCAGGTCGTAGTAGTCTCAGCTTACAGGTGGAAGCGTAATGCCCCGCCCAGTTCTGTGCGGAGACCCTGCCACTCAGCCTTTGAGACCCTGTTTGGGGCCGGGGTCTATCCAGGGTCCTGATCGCTACCGTGCAAACCTAGAGGAGCCGCCGCTTCTTACACATGTATTTCTGTGTGGTGGGAAGTGCACCAACAGTTCCTATATCTCCTTCCCGACAGACTTGGGGACAGGGGAGGGAGTGCAGAAAAATCAGCACTGAAAGGGTACTACGCAGTGCTAGAGGATGACCCTAAACTAAGGGGAAGTTCTTTATGGGGCCCAAAATCTGGATTTCTATCTCTCACAGTGGGCCTCCTCTTCAGGGAGCCATTTCAGGAACAGCTGGACAGGTGGGGTGGTTCTGAGGCTGGTTCACAGGACTATCTCAGTTTTCTTCTTGGGAGCCAGGGTGCTCTGCCCTGTTTCTTCCTCTTTAGCGGGAGGTAGCGAACGTCAGCCCAGAGCTGAAGTAGCTATTGCTGGGTTGAATGGGGCCCTTGCTAAGAGAAAAAGGTAGCTGTGAATACTTAGCAGGCAGGTTTGCCCAGGAGATGAAGGGATATATCAGGGGGCTTTAAGGTCTCAAGCATTGACAAAGCTTATGCCCTGGGCTGGTCTGGGTTTCTTTATCATTAGTCCTCTCTTTACCCCTCTCTTTTCCAGGAAGCTTGGGCAGCCAGGTACTCAGATGTCTTGGGAGCTAAGAGTGAGGGAGGCAAGTCTCCTTACTTTTGGGGGCAGGGGTTGGGGGATGTTAAATGGGAATGGAGCCTACAGATGAGATAGGTATATGCTTCTCAGGATGGAGGCAACAATCCATGCCTGAGAAAGCCAGGAATAGGGCTGTGAGGTCTGTATCACCTAAGCCCCTTGCAGAAGGTGATGGGGAGCATGTAGGGGCATAGGCAGGAGGTGCCCTGGAGACAGGCCTTAGCTTTCCCACAGCTGCTAGGACTGCAGACTGCAGTGAGGGAGTAGGAGCATTTGCTATCTATCTGGAAGAAGGAAAATAGGCCCTAGTTTATGCCTCAGATCTAGGAAGAGAGAAATCTTTTATTTCTGAGCCCCTTCCTGAGACCAGAGAAGACCCCCTTTAGCTTTCACTGGCTTAGCTGTCATTGGTAATGGTCGGTAACCTAGCTGTCTGCCTAAAAACCAGCGATCATTTAATGTTTTACTTTTTGAGAGATGGGGGCTCTCCTTGACACTTAGGAGTTTCTGGGAGGAGGAGTAAAAGGGGCGAGCGAACCTGCGTTAATGAATCCCGTAAGGAACTGCGTTTCCCAGGAAATTCCTGACATTTTTAGCTCGTGAATTTCCTAAAGCCTGCTTGGTTTTCTCTTCCATCTGGGTCCTTCCAGAGAGGAAGAGTGGGCTAGGGGCTGAAGGCTCGGCAGGGCCTGGTTTATCCGCAGAGCTGGCCGGCAACCCAGGCTGGGCTCAGCCCTGAACAGGGTGCCCCCCTTCCCCAAATCTCAGAAGGAGGAGGGGGAGGCAGGCGGGCAGTCGTTGTCCCAAAGGGGGCTGGTTGAAGGTTTTGGGGTGAGTGTGGGGTTTCTTTTTGATTGTTGCTTGGGGAGAAGGGCAGAGCCAACGGGAAAAGGCACTGCGGGCACCCCGGCCCTGGTGCGGCTGCCGTCCTCTGCTCGGCTCCCCCCTGCCGGTGAGTGCGCCCGCCCGCCCGCCCGACTGTGCGGGGCTGCGGTTGGGGGGAGGGGGGAGCGGGATCATCTGAGGCCAGAGCCGCTGCCGTGCGCGGGGAGGGGAGCGGCGGGAGCGAGGGGAGGGATAGGGCTAGGTGTCTGGTGCTCCGCGCCACTGCTGCCGGCGCCCCGTCCTCATCCCTGGCAGCCCCTTCTGCAGCTAAGGTTTACTGCTGCACCACCTCTCCTCTTCCTTGCCCGCCTCTGCGGCCAGGGCTCTGCGGTAGGAGACAGTCCAGTCAAGTGACGGGTGGGCCGATCTGGGTCTGGATGGGCCCGCTGGGGAGGGGGTGGCCGTGACTCGGTGTCCCCTCTCTGCAGCGGGCTCAACTGCGCTGCGCGGGCCCCTCCCCCCACATCTTCTTTGGGGTCACTGGAAAGCAGAGCTCAGGCCCACTCCCTGTGCTTAGTATGGCAGTCCCCTTCTAACGCCAGTCCCCCAACTCCCCGGGCCGAGGCCGCTCAGGGTCTGGCCAACAGCGACAGCCACAGTGGTGGCGGCAGTGGCGGCAGCAGCTGCGACGCGGCGCGTTCTAGTCCCCCCCCCACCCCAACCAGGGGTGCGGGGTGAGGGCCGGTGGGTGGGCGCCGCCTGGCGGGCGGGCGGATGGGGGACTGGCAACGGGGAGGGGGTGCGGGTCACGTGCTGGCGGTCGGGTGGGCGCGTACAGTAGGGCGCCCGGCTACTGTACTGGGGAGTCAGTGCCCTGTTACCGGGTCTCGTCTGTCTCGTCTCTCCCGCAGATCTCGCGAGAGTGGCTGACTGGCTGTGGGGGTTGCGGCGGCAGCAGGCGGAGCCGGGGAGGGAAAGCAGCGGCGGCTGAGGCGACTGAGGCGGCGGCGGGCGGAGCGGCAGGCGGCGGCAGCGCGGCGGCGGAGCGCAGCATCATGGCGGACCGAGACAGCGGCAGCGAGCAGGGTGGTGCGGCGCTGGGCTCGGGCGGCTCCCTGGGGCACCCGGGCTCGGGCTCGGGCTCCGGCGGGGGCGGTGGTGGCGGCGGGGGCGGCGGCGGCGGCAGTGGCGGCGGCGGCGGCGGGGCCCCGGGGGGGCTGCAGCACGAGACGCAGGAGCTGGCCTCCAAGCGGGTGGACATCCAGAACAAGCGCTTCTACCTGGACGTGAAGCAGAACGCCAAGGGCCGCTTCCTGAAGATTGCTGAGGTGGGCGCGGGCGGCAACAAGAGCCGCCTCACTCTCTCCATGTCAGTGGCCGTGGAGTTCCGCGACTACCTGGGCGACTTCATCGAGCACTACGCGCAGCTGGGCCCCAGCCAGCCGCCCGACCTGGCCCAGGCGCAGGACGAGCCGCGCCGGGCGCTCAAGAGCGAGTTCCTGGTGCGCGAGAACCGCAAGTACTACATGGATCTCAAGGAGAACCAGCGCGGCCGCTTCCTGCGCATCCGCCAGACGGTCAACCGGGGGCCCGGCCTGGGCTCCACGCAGGGCCAGACCATTGCACTGCCCGCACAGGGGCTCATCGAGTTCCGCGACGCTCTGGCCAAGCTCATCGACGACTACGGAGTGGAGGAGGAGCCGGCCGAGCTGCCCGAGGGCACCTCCTTGACTGTGGACAACAAGCGCTTCTTCTTCGATGTGGGCTCCAACAAGTACGGCGTGTTTATGCGAGTGAGCGAGGTGAAGCCCACCTACCGCAACTCCATTACCGTGCCCTACAAGGTGTGGGCCAAGTTCGGACACACCTTCTGCAAGTACTCGGAGGAGATGAAGAAGATTCAAGAGAAGCAGAGGGAGAAGCGAGCTGCCTGTGAGCAGCTCCACCAGCAGCAGCAGCAGCAGCAGGAGGAGACCGCCGCTGCCACCCTGCTACTGCAGGGTGAGGAAGAAGGGGAAGAAGATTGATCAAACTGAATGGAACCCCCCCCACATGCATACACACACACACACACACACACACAGCGCCACACACAGAGAAAATATACTGTAAAGAAAGAGAGAAAATAAAAAGTTAAAAAGTTAAAAAAAAAAAAAAAGAACTGTTAACTCCAAGGGAGCACCACCCACAGAACCTCCACCAACTGACAGTTTCTCTTCTTGACTTGCCACCCATCGCTGGATGTTGTCCACTTTATCCACCATATAAAACAGTAAGCAGCTGCTAAAAACAAAAAACAAAAAAAATACAAAAAGTAATAACATTATATGAACTGTGTTTCCTACTTGATTAAAAAATATAAAGAACTGAGTGTTTATTTCCCTAATTAACCAAGAACTTTTGTACACGTTTAAGCTATTATTATTAAAAGTGTTTGCAAAATGGTCAAGATTATAATATTGCTGAATTCTATAAAAGTCCTTTTCATGTTGAGCTAACATTTGACTTTAGCACAAAAAAGAGATATTTTAGAACACGTAAAATAATATTTTTAGTTTTTTCTCATTTTGTTACCAAATTTCAAACCTTACATGGAGGTTATTATAGTATATTTGACACCCTATATACCTGTGATTAGAGATGTGTATATATATGAGGGCTAGGCATGCTGTGTGTCTGAGCTTTGTCTAAATGTTATGCAGAAGTTTGTAGAGTTAAAGGTACGTAGGTTAATTCATGCAAGGTAAACAATAAGTGCTCTCTTTTATACAATATGCATTGCATCTGGACCTTAAACATTTAAAAATGGTCAGTGAAACTTCTGTGAACATGAAGAAATTATTAAAAAAGGCATTTAAATGAAATTTGCTAAGTTGTGATTTTTACGGTTGGAACCAAAGTTATTCAAGTAGTAAAAGAAAAAAGAGAAAGAAAGAAAAGGAAATCTCCCATAATATTTTTCTGCATCTGTTTGCTTTGACTGAGTAGGCGTTTTGTCATTATTGTGTATATGAGATGTACTTGTATCGTTCATAATATATTTTTTTTATTATGTGTAGAAAGATTTTAAAAACTTAACTAACGTGCAGCAATTTCCAGTGAACCTGTACTTGGACATCAGGTAGTGAGTCTATTTGTGGTCACTAGCACTGTCTCCTAAACTTATAAGAGGTCTGAAGCTATCCTTTGATTTTTGCCAGTGCTATTAACTTATGTAGACCCGTTAAAAAGCAGAGCAACACAATTATAGTTATCCTACTGAGCCATGGATTCTGAGCTTCATTTTAAAAGTGAAAGCCAAGTTGGTGTATGTAAAGGATTTCCATGTAGCTGTGGTGCTAGTTATTACTGGCTACATTATATGCTAAGTGTATTTGTGTTCCCCAAGTGTACAAGCCTTCTATCAAAAGTATGTTCTATAACTCATATATTCAAGGTGTAGGGTATGAAAATGCAAAGCTTAGGAGAGCACTTTACTAAGCTGGTGTCCTCCCAACTGAAATTGTTTGTAACGATAGTCTTTTACAGGTTTTCATTTAAAGATGTTCGTGTGCTTTTAATTGACAACTAACTTCTTGCTGCTGTATAGTAAAATATTAATATATTTTTATCATTAAACTGCTGCATGACTATCATCTTTGAGTGAAGAGAAAATGTTATAAAAAAAGATGCCTTAAACAGTACATTTTGGTTTGGAATTCTGTAGAAAGTATTTTGGTTTAAAAAAAAATGGATCTTGTCTGACATAAAGAGTTCTGGGGATGGAATTGTTTTCTTGGCAAATCCAGCCATATAGATCTAACTGCTGTATGTAGAAGACACCACCTGTAGGAGCTGGAAGGTATCAGTGCTTCTCACATTGTAAAGCATTGGCCTAGGAAGGTGAAACAGTTGTCTTTGAAGGATTTTTTTTTTTCTGCTGGTTCTTTGGGTTTTGATTTGGTATTTTTAAGCTCCCTGGTTGAGTGTGTTGTCTTTGAGATCTACTGTATGTGTTGAATAACAAGCTATTTCCATTGTACTGTGCATTTTCCCATTAAATTGTTTGCTTTTAATATTCATACAATGTTTAATATGAGGTGACCGTACAATAGTTAGGAGTTTCTTTACTTACAAAATCACTGGAAATGATTAAATTGCTTTTCCCCTTCCCCCAAGGTGCATTTTTCTTATTTCCATATAGTAAAGTTGAGCTTTTACAGTGCATAATGTGACATTTGGAATGCTTATCAACTGCATGTAAACATTAATAACCTGCACTTTTTTGTCTTAAGGTTTGTTGAGCTGTTTTGTTCACTGTACTTTAACTGTGATATGGAAAAGACTGCATTCTCTGTGCTGTTACTAGTTAGGAAAGAGAATTGCTTTGATTTTGTCTCTTGTTTACTATAGCTTTTTAAAGTTAAGCCTTGTACTACAGGTTGTTGGAGTACTCCTAGATCAGTGTTTCATAGTAGCCAGCAATAAGTAGTGCAAGTCAACAAAAAACACAGCAAACTTAGGCAAAGTGTCCTTTCTTTGAGATGCGAGTTCTTTCATGAGGTTTTCTTTAGGGTCCGAGTTACCTAAAGTGAAGCCTTTCTTAGCTATAGACTTCAGATTCTGCTTGGAATCCTACCGGATCAAGAAGCACATGAATTGTGCAATTGTCTTTACACTATAACAGTTAAACACAATCTTACTCAGATTTTGAAACCAGTGTCTGAATTATGGTCAGTGGGTTTAAAAAGAAATCCACATGCAGATCTTTTAAGACTTCTTAAGACGTGATCATAGAAAAGACAAATGACTGTAAAGATGCTCTTTTTTTGCATCTCACTTTACCTCCCCAAGTCCCCTCCCAAACTTTCCTTCTCCCCCCTCCTGTTTCATCCTTTTCCCACCCTTCCCCCCAGGTGCTCGGTACTTTACCAAGGTTCTATTTCTCAGTGTTTTATGTTGGAGTTTTTCCTTGTTTTTATTTTACTAGTTGGTAAACCCTGTTTGTGCTGAAACAAAAAAGGAAATGGTATATTTGACCATATGTTTTATTCATAGAAGACAGTATGATCAAATGTGCCAAAAACAAGTAAACAAAACTTAATTCATGACAAGTATGCCTTATTTTTAATGATCTGCTTTGTCTTACAATTAAGGTCCAAGAACTTGGTTAAACTGTATTATTTGCCTAAGTATAAAAGAACACTTGAAATGCATTGCGTTCTTTAAAATGAGAGACATTGTCAAGTAATTTAATCCAGAGATCAGCCACCAGATTTGAAATGCCCATGTAAGTGTATGTGCTTTAGTGTTGTTCGTTTTTTTGGGTTTTTTTGTTTTTTCTTTTAAGTCACCAAATCTTTTTTTAAGCTACTTTTTATTTGTGCCTCCTATTTATCATGCTGATGTTGGAAACAGCAGTCATCCAGCCACAGAGGGAGCTAAAGTTAACTAACCAGAACTGTAGAAATCATTATACATGCCTTTGACAACAAAGGAAGTTCATAAGAAAAGCCATGTTGGCTTTTCCTCCACTAGATACAGATTGGAGGTAGATGAATATTTGCCAAATGGAAAAAAAGACAATGTGAGTCAGGAAAGACAAACTTTTCCAGCTTCTCAAAAGCCATGGAGAGTAGAAACCAAAACCAACAGGGAAATAAAAAACCTTGAAAGTCTCACTTTCTAGTTGTCCCATTCAGGGGTTGAAATTTGACTCAAAGTGAAAAATGTATCAATGTGTTTTTTAGGTCTTCACATCTAGAGATGGATAACTATTCCAGTTTGATTTTTCAGGTAATGGAGAAAGCTGCTAGTAATTTTAACCCCTGCCTAAAGAAGATAATTTCATTTGGGAGCAAATACTTGTTGCCTTGAAAAATAGCACTGTAATAGCCTATGATAATTAGTTATAGAATAACCTTTATCCCTTTTAAACTATGCAAATTATTAAATAAGTGTAAATTAGGACTCAAAGATAGTTGATTATATTGCAATCAGATGGCATTCACAAACTTAACTGGAGCATATACAAATAAAATCTATTAGTCTAAGAGTTTTGTATGCTAACAGAAAAATATAATTTAGCTACCTATTCTAAAAATGGTGAATATTATTAATATTGTACAATAGGACTGGGAAGACTGCCTCCTTTTTTGAAGAGAGAGATTAAGGATTTTTATAATTGTTTTTCATCAAATTTTAATATTTTTGTCAAATTTTTAGGTATTTAATTTGTAAAACAGTTTGCTTTGTACTGGCATACAGAAAATAGGGTATTGATTTTAAACTTTTTGAAGCCAAGTGATCAAGTACATTTGTAATAAAAGTCAATGGATCTATATCAGTTGTACTCACTGTTTTCATTTCTTATACTTATTAATATAGGAATGCTGTGCTTTTTCTGCAGGAAAACAACTAAATTTGGGTGGAAGGGAGGGGAAAAGATAAGTCTGTTGATAATGAGAATCTGGGTGGGTACCATGGCCCAAATACTTTATGTAATATTTAAGTCAGTTAAGATTTGGTATATTGAAAAAGATGTATAGGTCACTTTTTTCTACTTTTTCTTCTTATGAAATGATGTTTGTGGGGGTTGTCTCATTCATTTTTTCTGTGCTTTAACATTTTGCATTTGGCAATGTTGAAACTTTCTAAACTAACACATTTTTCTTTTATGATATTTTGGATTATCTGCCAGCCATGGTTGACCCCACCATGGGCATGATTATTTTTATCTCCCACACATGGTTCACCCTCTCTTCAATATTCCCATTCATTTTTTTCATGTTACACATACACACATTTCCATATGATTTCAGAACGGAGATTTCTGAAATTGTTCTGGTGGCTTTCATAGCTCCACGACTTGTTTTGTTACACATGTGAACATACTTTTAAGATTTTTTCCCCCATAAAAAATGAGATACCAAATCTGATGACTTTTTTCATTTTCAATATCAGAATGAGATCCGGCTTTCTATGTAAAAGGATGCTAAAACAAGAGAATCTTTAGCAACTTAGGTTTGGAAAAATTGGTGATAACTCTGAGTATAACATTTATAGTTGATGATCCCTAAATCTGAATATCTTAATGATATATATATATATACACACTTCCCCATGAGAGTGGAATGAATAGGAAAGAGAATTTATTAGAATTCCTTAAGTGAATAAATTCACTAAAGTTATTTGTGCAAAGTTGTCTGTTGAAGTTTATCCACTTTTAAGTCATATAATATTTCTGTTTATTTTCATTGAAAATTAAGCAAATTTAGGCCATTCATAGTGAAATTAATGTAAAGCTTAAGCATTCACCTCTATTAAAATTACTGTTTTCACTCAGCAACATTAATTACCATGAAGAATTTGCAATAAATTTTTAAGAAAAGCTGATTTTAATATTTGAAGAGTTATTTGATCCTAAAACAAAACCTGAATTTAAGGCCTAGGCCATTTGATAGACTCTTTTTGAGCAGAAATTTCATTATTATGGGCTAAATGAAGATCATCTAAACTAACATTAGCATGGGTCAGGTAGAATTTCATAATGCAAGACAACCAGGTGAAAAGTGAAATACATGATTGGTTTCAAGCCAACAGCTTGTCATCTTTCAGCTGCTAAACTGACTACCAGATTTTGATGTTGAATGGTCCTAGGCAATATATGCCTTTAGGAAAGTTGAGTATGGCAAACGTCACTTGTTAGAAACATTTTTCTTGAAAAGAATTTCATAGCTATTCATTTATTTTTATTTTGTCCCCATATTGTGTTTGGCATTTCCTTCCTCCCTCCCTTCCTCCTTCCTTCCCTCCCTCCCTCCCTCCCTCCCTTCCTTCCTCCCTTTCTTTTTTTTTTTCCTGATGTGCTTTGCTTTTATGGAAAATTGTCTTGTTTGATAGGTAGAAACATGGTGGTGAGCCTCTGTGTAAAATAAGGTTACTTCTTATGGACCAGAAATATTTTACTCATTTTGGAATTATAAGATTTTTGCATTTTCATGAATACATACTTTGTTTTGGTGATTATTAGTAATTTGCTTGTTAATTAAATTTTTGTAGTATTTCCTGGAAAAAATTTAAGCTAAAGAGTCTAATTTTCTTGATTTAGGGTACACTTTAATAAGTCTAGAAGCCTCCAAGTTCAAGGACCAAACCTTTATAATCTAGAATTTTGAGAAACGTGGAAATACTCTTGTTAGCATGTGTTTTGCTCTAAACTGGATTAATGCAGAAGGATCCTAGGAGGACTTAAGATGTTCTTATTATGAAGTGGCAGTCAAATTTATGGGACAGGTGACTTATGTATTCACATTGACCAGCTCAGTGATGGCCATCCACTGATGAATTAATAGACATATGTTGGGGAATGGGTCAAGCTCCCTTTGAAATGGAGTGGGTGGGCAGTTTCCAGTGCAGGTAGTTGTTGGTGACATTTGAGCTACTTCCCTACCATAAACACTGGAATTTTCTTTTTCCCATCCTTCTTTTCCCCTGTTTTTGTCTCCTTTATCCTTCTCCTTGCCATAGGCCTACCAGTGGCACTCCAGTTTACCTCCTTAGGAAGGAAGTAATTGCTGACTCCTGCCTTAGAAAAGAACATAGCTAACTGATCCCAGAAAGATTTCTGTATTATGAGGTAATTGGGCAGTTTTTTCTGACTGTTGTTTTCCCCATAGTCTTAAGTTGGCAGTTTGAAGAGCATCGAAATTGTTAAGAAATTTGTGAATTTAAGAAAGTAAGAAGTATGTGTATTTTGGGTAAGTTCCTGGAAGCTGAGACTTACTGGTTTGGAAATTGGAGAGCAGAAAGAGGAGAGCTGTTTAATGTGTTTATGAATGGAGAGTGAGAGGTACACAAGGGAATGGTTTCAAGGTAAAGTGGAAGAAATTTTTACTGGAGGTAGGAAGAGACACTGAGCTGGAGTCTTAAATGAGAGTTTGTTTGCTAAGGACAATGAAGTTGATGTTCACTAAGGAAGTTTCAGTAAAATCAGAAAATGGGTCCCTTGTTGGATATGGGAAAGCTATTGGTCTGTAACTAGATGTTATAGTGATGATGCAATATACAAATCTGTTTTCAGGTGTAGGATGTTTGCTTTTCTGGACAAATTAAATAGCACAATTGTGGAAGGGCAACTTTCCTGGTTAAGGCAAGTTGCTGCTGGAGACTTATTTTGAGGGGAAGAAATAAGAAAGTTTCAAACTTTTTCACCGTTACCATTTTTAAACTATCAGAAATATGTATCTTACATTCTCCTGGGTTCATGTTACAATGTAGTTTACCTTTGCTTTTCAAAATGTTCTTTAGATCAAATTATTTGATTTTATAGTCCACAAAGATCCATATTATGCCTTGCATTTATAGAACCTTGAGCCTTTGTTCCACATGAATTTCTAGAAGAGGACAATAAACCGGGTAAAAACACTGAATTGCAATTTTAGGCATCCTTTCTATTTCTTTTATATTTACAATCCTAGCAACCATTTAACATTGTAGACCTTATGAGATCCTCAATAATACTATATTTCTGAAATTAGACAACACACACCCCTCCCCCTGCAACTCAAGTTTCTGTTTGTTCTCCCACTTTCTGTGTTACTTTAAAATTGTAGAATTCTCAAGAGTTCGTTGGTGGCAAATGTTAATAATATAGTTTAGTACATCTTGGAAGTTCTTACGTCCTTTGTAGGGTGAAGTGATTGTGTTTAGATTTCTGTTCCCAGTATCCCAGGAGCGTTGTAAATTATTTAAGATAAAGAGTTGCTATCATACTTGTTTTTAAAGTTACATAATTCAAGTATATTTGGATTAACTCTGTTTTCTAGTTTAGTATGGACTTATTCTCAGTGATTTTGACAGATTACTTTCAAGTTTCATTTTACCCAAATCTGTATACGTTAGTGATAAAACCTCTTTAAAGATAACTAAAAAAAAGAGGTTCTGATTTTGTATTTGGAATGTAGTGGGTTTTTTTTACAAATGTCAAATACATTAATAATAGAAGAATTATTTTTATTTTAACTTATTTTGTAGAGTTGGCACTTAGTATGGTTTTCACATAGTATTGTGTGTCAGATTTTAAATTATTATAGTTACATACTATAACTTAAGTTAGTGTAGAGCCTTCTTAAATAACCCCTCCCTTAGGAATTGTTTAAAAAGAAGTGAATTCCCAAACCTGTGTCAAGAACCAGTGATTTAAATGACTGTGAGACAAGTCTTTGAAAGGCTTCCTTGAGTCTAGTCAATGGAGATAAACGATAGCCCATTTCCATGCTGCATACAGTTGTTAGGGTTTATAAAGTTGTCAATATGTAAAAGTGCAAAAGCAGGAAAGACTGTAAAGTTGCCTATAAAATTTCTAGTTTTCATTATTTGCACTATTTATCTTTGCACTTGATTTTTTGAAAATTAAGACTAGTCACTTTCACTTTTGTTTCTAGTCTTTTCTAATTTCTTACAGAATTATGTTTTCAATATCCCTCCCAAAGCAAAACTTATATGCAATTAAATATTCTTTATAAGTCCAAGAAAATATTTCTTAGTGTTAGCTATGTAGAACAAAAATTTGTTTTGATAAAATTTTTAATATGGGCCTTTATTTGCCAATAAAATCCTTTGTAACTGTGAGTTTTATTAGACTATTTGAATAGACAAACTGAAAGCTTAGGATAGAAAAAAAATTATATATATATATACATGTATATATATATACACACACACACACACACACACACACACACACACACGAAGTAGTGTTTTTGAGATCCAGTTTCCAGCCTGAAATGGCCTGATTTTGGAGTGTTGATTTGTTTTCACTGAAGTCAATGAGATTTGAGTCTAGCTGGGTATTGGCTTTAAAAGCTGGAAGTGAAGTGGGTGGCAAGTGGCAGCTCCCTCTTTCATGTAGTTTTCCATAATACTCATGGAGTTTCCTCATGGTCTATGTGATATAACTGGTATCGAAATAATTATATTAAATGAATATTCCTTTTTGGAATTCAAGGTTGACTCACTTTTTGAGGAGGGGAGGGTGGCAGGGGATAAGAGACTTTATTTTAACTAGAGGCATTATTATAACCTCAAGATGTGCTCTAGAAAGAATAGGAGAACAAAAAGTGTACCTGTGAACATATTTTTTGTCTTAGTGAGATTGCGCGACACAGTTAGTGTTCGGAATTGCAAAAAAAAAAAAAATTGACAGTTTTGTCAATAGAACAGAAATGTGTTTTGGCTAAAATTATATTTTGTAAGTTATTTAATTACTTCGTTTTATATTCCCTTTCCCATAGCCTTTTAGGCACTTCATACTTAAAACCAACAAGTGAGAGGCCTCTTTTCAGATCTGGTTTATTTTTGGAATGCCTGAGTGTGTTTCTGGATGGGTGGGGGGGGTGGGGGGGGCGGTGCGGCGGGGCTGGTGTTTTAATTCTTGACATGCTCGTCTCAGCATGTTTTGCTATTCATTCTGGATCTTAAGTTTGCAAATTCTGCTGAAAATTCAGTGATGTATTTGAAATGAGAAACTTCTCTGTGATATAGTGTGAATGTTTGTGGCTGGACTCTATTGTGGAAACTTGTGGCTTTGTTTTTAATTGAGGTAGAAAGTTAAACTTCCGTTGTTCAGATTTTAGGTTTATCTAGTGGAATTGTGCCCGGTAGTTATCTAAATATGGACCAATTTTGGGAAATGAAGGTTGACAAATGTGTATTTGACTCTAGATAATCCTTTATTCAAAATCATAAAGGCTTACATCATTAGAGTTGTCTTAGGTTTTATGTTGTCTTGGGTTAAATGTGGATGATGATCAGCATTATATCTATGAACTTCCTTTGGGAAAAGAGAAAAATTCAGTCTCCAAACCTTTTCTTGGAGACTAAATTTACCATATATGGATAATGAAAAAATTTTAGAAAGTGGCTTTGATTATTTTTAAATGGAATTTAATCAGCTTAGTTATTTTTCCTAGTTTGAAGCACTTATTTCCCAAATGTGAATAAAGGGAAAAGATCAACAATTTGGCACCCCCCTTTTTTGAGGCCATTTTTAGTTTTCTGCCCCCATTTCCCAATCCTGTTATAAAATGAATTACGGGTATCCCTCTAAGTCCCTACAACCCCTTTTGGGGGTCACAGATACCTTTGATAATCTGACAAAAGTGATGGACCCTCTCCCCAGAAAGAAAATACAACATATACAGATAATTTTGCATACAACCTCAGGGGCATCACACATCTTCTGAAACCCAAGTTAAGGATCTCTAAGTAAACTCTGTAGAGAAAATTTTAATGCAATTAATTGATAAAATTAAGAACTAAGTATTGGCATAAAACATTTCAGATTGGAATTATCGTTAGATGATGGCCCCTACTAGCAAAATGTGACATTCCAACCAGCTTTGTTAGACATTATAACATCCAGATAGAAGGAAAAAAGAAGCAAAGTTCTGAGAGCTATTTTTAAGGAGTCAGGGCATCTCTAGACATGGGAGCCACTCCTGGTTCAAGGCAGGGGTCAGGGTGCCTGACAGCTTCTAGCAGGGTAGAGTTTGATAAACCACAATGCTCAGGATGCCAAGGGGTTAGCCATTATCTTAACCCCTTTCTCACCAAAAGATTTTAGTTTTGTGTATTGGGAAACAAGACGTCACTAGGGAAGAAAAAGATTTGCCTTACAGCTTTGCTGGAACACATCAGTTTGGTGACGTATGGGACACCGGTATCATTTTTGAGAAGGTGCATAAAACCAAAGTAAATTATTCTCTATGTAGAACATTATTTACTAGTAACATTTGTTTGGATGTATTAGCTTTGACAATTTTTACCAGTAAATATTGGTTTTATTTAAAACTGGGAATCCAGTTTATAAATAAGATAGTTGATATATCTGTCCTTTCCCCCATGTAAAGAATAGTTTAAAGGTTTATGCTTACTTTTTATTTTTCTCTCTTGATGCCATGGAGCGGGGTGGGGGCGGGGGAGATCTTTGAGTCAACAACCGACAAAATATCTTCTTCAAATTTAAAAATTGAGAAAGCAGCACCTTATTTAAGTCTAACTGTATACCATTTTAGTGCATGTATTAGTTTTAATAATGATTTTTTGGTGCATGCCTTTGGGCTTATTCAAAAGTGTACAATAGGAAAGTATATGTATTTCCTTTCTTAGAAAGGAGATGTTTTTCTACTTTGCAACATGTGATTACAAAAATCTTCCTCTGTGGGAAGATTAACCATGTATTGAACTACTGAAAAGTATATATTTTTAGATATACAGAAAGCATCTACATGGAGCAGCATTCAGACCTATATAGAAGTCATAGCATTCTATATAGGACCAAAAAGGAAATAACATTAAACACTTAAACAGACTTTGTTGGGTAGAAATACCTTTAGATCTTGCATTGACTTCCAAAAAGAAAATGCCACAGAAGTTTGCTGAAAACTTTTGTTGTTTGAATTTTCTCTGTCAGTGTATTTAGCCCAAATAGAACAGCTTTGGGTTAACACATACGTAAGGATCAAAAAAACAAAGCTAACTAAATAAATCAGTCTGGTTTGCCAATCCAGCTTGACTGAAATAAGTAAACTAATCACTTGCAACATGAAAAACTGTTCAACTCCTCTAAGGTTTTGACAAAATAACCTTGGCTGATGTGGGAAGACTCCCACTTTGATTTCTGACCTGACAGTGAAGATTCATGCTTGACATGATTTCATACCTGACAGTGTCTGTTTAAGGAGCTGTGGTACAGTCTGCTAATTCAATCCCAGATACCTGTTGATTACCTGTGAGATCTAGAGTCCAAAGTAGCCAGCAGCTGTATCCCTGAGTGCTCTGTGCCCATCAGATCTCTTAAAGTAAGCAGGGTTGGGACAGGTCACAGCTCTGATGAGTGACCTCAGGTGCTGTGGACAGCCCCAGATTTAAGACTTGTATCTGCTTTCTTGGGAGTCATCACTGAACTAATGTCCCACATGGTGTTACTTACTGTAGATGCTCTCTCTTGGAGGAGGCCCAGAGCACACATCCTAATTGCTTGTGGTACTCAGAGAGGGGGTGCTAACTCTGATGCCCTGGCCAAATTCCAGTTTAGGGATGTGGGTCTTCTTGCTATTCTAATCGGAAACATGCATCGCTTCCCATTTTCCCTGTTGATCTCAGTGCAAACTGCACTAGTATATTTCTTTGCCCCGACCCCAAGTCTCTAAGATGCTGGTGTGTATTATATAGGCCAAGTTCATGCCTTATCCTAATGCTGGAAAGTTGAGGAATGAGTGAGCTTGGTGTCACAGTGCCCTGTAGTTGGAAGGTAAACTCTTGTGGTGTTTTAGGGATGAAGCTGGCCCTCTTCTTAGCATAAGTTGGGGAATGTGCACTGGCCGGAGGCTTCCAGCCATGAGGTGTGAACTGAAACCTATTTTCCCTCTTTTCTTATAGCATGTTGAGAAAATCTGTTGGGTTTTTAGCAGTCAGGGAAGGCCGGAGTTCTGCAGCTTTAATCTGGGTAACTGAGGCTAGTTTGAGCAAGTCTTTGGTTAATTAACTAGGTTCTCAGATGCCACAGACTCCGTGAAAAGTCACCATTATTTTCAATGGTTGTGATAGAATTTCCCCCAGTAGCCATTATTTTAAGATTATATTGCAGAGTTGCTTTATTTGAGCTTTTCGTGTATACACAATCCCAAACTGGAAGAAATAATAATTAAAAAAAGGAATCCTGCTGTGAAAGGTATATATTACTCTAGATTTTTCTTACTGTAAATATTGTAAGATTGTAATACTGTCGATATTTTATTAACCAACAAATGTTAATCTATGTGAATTCAGACTTATTTTAAACGTGCTTCTTATTTACTGTGTGTGGTCCCTGTTGCTGACAGTATTAAGTTATATTCTGATGTAAGATTAACTTTATTAAAGAATGTAAACATTGTTTCCTTATGGGAAAACAAATAAAGTATAAAGAAGACAATTCTTTTCATTAAAATATACTGTGTATTTACACTTGCTAGACCCAGCACCACTTATAAATTTAGTACACTGTTCAAAATTTTAGTTAACACAGCTGACATGGATGTGCTCTGTTTGAAAGTCTAAGAGTAGGTATTGTTGGAATATAAACAGTTTGTATTT